TAAACATTAAGAACAATGTCATGTTTAAGTATGGGGGAGGGATCTCTATTTTGGAGTTTAGCAAATGCTTCATCATGCATCTATTTTGGCTCCTTAAGTGCTAGAACTAATCAATTGTGTGCATTTTTGAAGTTAGTTTCCAGGGAAATTTGAAAATTGCATTGCATTTTGTCTTTTCGCCAACCTTCGCCGTGGCAAACTTTTAGTTCCGCCATGGCCAAGTGCTTCGTTCTCACTCATCTTACTTCTCTACCATACCAAGCCGTGCCCAACTTATGGTTCTCCGCGGTGAAGCAGGTTTATTACCAGATATACCTCTTAGCCACTCTTCGTCGCGGTGAGGGCTTCAAAAAAAAAATCCCTAAATGCTCCTGCATTTTTAAAAATTCTTGGAAAATTCAAATTATACTTGTGCTTTTAGAAGAAAACTATCCATGCTTTTAAATGATGGTTGAACTTAATTAAATCATTCCCGGTTTTGACAAAAAAGTAAATGAGGTTGCATTTTGAAAATAGGACTTGAGATTGATTAATCGAGATACTACACTTGTTGGAAGGATATTTGGGCCTAAATTCATTAAATGTGTGTGAATCTATTTAACTTCATATATCTCTATAACTTGTTTTAATTCTTAATCGAAGCTTCATGGATCAACATCTTGTGAACATGATAGAGGCATTCATTAAGAAACCCTTGTTACCTAAACACAAGCCCAAACACTTTACCATCACCAGCCCCTTTGAACCATCACTTTAAGTACATACATACAAATAAAAAGTAAATATTTTATTTTGTTTTAGCTTTGGTTTTTTGTTAAAAAAAGAGAGAAAAAGAAAAAAGAAGAAGAAGAAGAAGAAAGAGATGTTTGAGAAAAGCTAGAGAAAGAAAGAAAATAAATAGTGATATAAAAAAAAAGGGGAGTTAGTATCTTGAAAAACTTTAACTCCTTTCTTCGGAGATCTTTATGTTTGTTTCATGAATAGAATAATTGTAATGTTTTATACTCAATCCTTCTTTCTCTTCTATCCCATCCATTTCACTTGACCCTTACTAACCATTACAAACCCTAAAAGTCCTCTTGATTTGCAATTTGTGGTTCTTGTGGTGAATAGGTAGAATTATCACAAGCTTATGGTAGAGATTGGACTGAACAGATTTAGAGTGAAATAATCCCAAAACAAGTGAGTTGAGAGCTAAACACATACCCTTGGGATAAATTTCTTTTGCTTAATCTTTTGGATTAAATACTTATAGTGTTTACTTTCTTAGCGTATCCTTGTTTTACTGTTGTCAATCTCCATGCGGATTTCTTACTAATTTTCTACTCTCGTCTTTAAGCATGTTAGTATTTGTCATTGCACTTGTACCTTTTCAAATTATTTTTGTGGGCTTTGTCCAGGAGTACAAAGATCTAAGTGTGGGGGAATATGATTGAGCTCAAATTGTTTATATTATTTGATGACATATTATAGGTTTTTGTTACTCTTTTTGGCTCATTTTGATGGTAGTTGTGCTTATTTGAGTTTGAGAGCCCTTGTTTTGAAGTTAGTGGTATTTGATGGTAAAATTGTCATATTTATTCATTAATTGTACTTAGTTGATTTTCGAGATGATTGATTCCTCAAACGATTACTTTTCATTTCAGGACACTCAAGAAGTAAAGCTAAGAGTTATAAAGGGTGCGTAACACACAAAAGGCAACATTAACATCTCTCTTAGATTTTGCCGTGGCCAACTCCTGCCTTTGCCGCAGTGAAATCCAGAACTTCAACCAAATGACTTCTTGGCCATGGTTTGTCATCGCGAAACCATACCTTCGTCGTAGTGAACTCTTCGAATTAGCAACCCAGACCCGAACCATTTTTAGAAATTCTACCTACCCACTCACACAAATCGACCCAGTACACTTCATTACTGGTTTAGAAACCCTATTTTTAGGGGAAGTGACATTACTGATCCACATATAGCCTCCATTTTGTTCTCTCTCATCTCTATCTCATCCAACCCTAATATGTTCTTCCATTTTTCCACTGAAATCCTCCACCATGGGAAGCTCAGATTCATTCCTAGTTGAGATGCTTCAGATTTCTATGCGTGGCTAGGCATTTCTTTTCCTCTTGAAGGTGTAGCAATGGTTGGAGTTCAATGAGCTAAGGAGGGGAGTAGTTTAATCTTAGTTCAGCTATAAGTTTATGAATTTCTAGGTTTAAAGTTTGTGGTTTGTAGTTGAACTATCTGATTATAGTTGTAATTAGTCCTAGATTTCCATTTGTGTAGTGGATTGATTTTTATAGAACTTTTGAGGTTAATTAGATGAAGTATCATGTATGCTAATTGTGATCTTTTCATTCTCTCTACTCTTGCACGGTTGTGTTTTGACATTAAGTTGATTTTTATCACATTTGACCAGTTGCATTAATCAAATCTTTCTACACACACTAAGGACACTTAATAGAATCTTGAGTAATGGAGTCCCATTACTTAAGATTCTGGACTCAAAGAGTACTTTGAGGTTTACCAATTGAAACTTAGTGATTTCTACTCCCATATCAATTGATTTTGAACTATGACAGCCTGAGCACACTTTCAAGAGGATTTTTATCATTGTTTGGTTATCTGTTTACCATCATTCATTTCCTATTTCCCTAAAATCTAAAAATATTTTTTATCATTCGATTCAATTCACTTAATGTTTTCGAAGAACCAAAACCCCTTTTTACATTCAGTTTGCACTGCATGGCATCCAAGTTAGCTTAGATCTAGTTAATAAGCTCCAATAAAGTGAAATGACCCACGGTTGCATCCTATAGTACAATTATTGGATACAAATTTTGATTTAACCTCCAAGGTCAAGAAAAGGTTTCGAATCACTTAGCCTACTGTTACTCCTTGCTAGACTCATTTTTAGTAAAATCTCAAAAGTTGCATTAGGACACTCATAGTTCAAAACCATTGTGAAAAGCATAAGAAAGCTTAATCATTTAAAATTTTTAATTGCCCAAAACCACTTTCTTGCAACTCCTTAATAGGTAAAGTCAAAATCTATTGAGAAATTTTCAGTTTGGAAGCAACAGGGGTGAGTCAAAAGTTCAAAGGTCCTTTATGAGCTCAGGCTGCGACCTGGTAACAGCGAGGTCGCGACTTGAACAGAGGGAAAATTTTGAATTCAGAAAGGTTTAAGGTCACGACCTGAACCCAAAAAGTTTAGAAAATACAAATGAACCAGTTTGTTCGAAACCACCTTTTGCAGAAAATATAATCCCAAGCTGTTCAAAAACTAGTTAAAAAGTAGATTAAACAACCAGCCCAAACTCCACTTAATCAAAATCAAAACTCTAGAAACTAAAACCCTAGAAAACATAGAACTAAACTGAACTAGGAAGAACAAAAAGAAAAACAGAGCAAACCTTGAAAGAGCGGCAGGAAAAACGAAGTTCATTGAAGAATGGCTTGAAATATGGATTGCAAGGGATGAATTCCAAAGGCAAGAAAGCAACAGCAAGCATAGGAAAGCAGGTCGGTGTTTAGGGAGATGAGGGGGTGAAGAAAAGACAGGTTTTTTTTTTTGAAGAGGAAGAGCAGTTTCAATTGAGAAGATTGAAAGGGGAGGCAGTTACAGGAGAAGGGAAGTCATGACTCAAGGAGGTAGAAGGTCAATGCGGGTTATGGAGAGTAAATGTGTGAGGGAAGCAGCAAAGGAGAGTTATGTGTGGTTTTACAAAGGGAGGCTAGGGTTTTTGGTCCTTGGGGTGAACCAGGTTGGAATCTGAGTAGGTTCAAAGGGTAAAGAGGCAATTAGGATGCATATAAGTAAGGGTAAATAGGTGAACTTAATGAAAAATTCTGACTTTTCATGTCAGGTCGCAACTTGAGGGATGTGAGGTCACGACTTCAGTAGACAGAGGGGGTTTCAGGAAGGCTCTAGGTCGCGACCTAAAAACATTGAGGTCGCGACCTCAACTTAGAGAGCCTTTACCTATTGTCTTCCCTAAGTTGTGACTTGAGATATATAGGTCACGACTTCAACTTACAGAAAGCTCCTCTCCTCAGACTAACCTCCAGGTCGTGACTTTAGCAGACAGGTCACGACCTGAGATCACAGAGAGGTCTCTGACATTCTAGAACCTAAAAAAAAAATTCTATTCTAAGTCCCTAAACCAAAACCACTCATAACAACCCAACTCAGCAATCCATCACCAGATTCTCAACAATTCAATACAAAACTTCAAAAACAAGTGATCGAAGACTGGGGAAAACTTCAAAAGTTTCAAAAAATTTTAAGAAAATCTGGCAAGTTTCCACAAGAACTATCCATAATAGGGAACAATCCAACAAACAAAGTACAAAACCACTTTAAAACCTCCCTCCCCCTATATACTCAAAGCAATGTCCACATTGCAGCACACAGTCACACCAAAGCACAAAGCCCAAACACAAAAACAATGAAGGTGGAAGTTGTGAAGTTCAGTTTGAGATTGAAGCACAACACATCACCTTTCTAAAAAGAGGAAAGAGCTAAATGCAAGGTGAGAAAACTCAAGAATGCAGAGAAGTGTGTGGGGATGATAGATTATAAGCATAATCACAATCACATCAAATTCAAGGCTAGGGCAGATTATTGAAAACAAACATAACAAACGGAATTTAAAAACTACTTCTATTTCACAGCCTTAAACAGTCACAACAAGATAATTTGGGCACAAATAAATTCATGTGAAAAGTAAGAGGTATAGGAAAGGGATGACCTGGCCTTAGGAAGGCGAGGCGGGCTCTTCATAGAGCTTGAGGAGATGACCATTGCATCGTAACATTTTACTCGTGGTCTCCTCCTTGAGCTCTATATCCCGAAGTTGTGAACTTTCGTAACAATGTATGGTCCATCCCAGCTCGTCTTGAGCTTACCCTTCTTGAATTTGAACCAAGCTTGATACCTCAATACTTTATCACCCTCCTTGAACTGCTTCCTCAAGATGTTGGCATCATGGACAAGCTTGGTTTTTTACTTGTAGATGTTTGAGCTGTTATAGGCATCTAACTGCATTTCTTCCAGTTCTTGAATCTGAAGGAGTATGTTCAGACTAGCTTCCTCCAAATTAGTGTTGCAGCTCTTAACCGCCCAGTATGATTTATGTTCCAGCTCCACCAGAATGCAACAAGACTTCCCATAGATGATCCGGTACAGAGACATTCCTATTGGTGTCTTGTAGGCGGTGCAATTGGCCCACAATGCATCGTCTAGTCTCAAGCTCCAATCTCTATTAGAGGGCTTGACAATACGTTCCAGGATGCATTTAATCTCTCTATTAGATACCTCAGGTAGTCCATTGGTTTGTGGGTAGTATGGAGTGGACATTCTGTGGGAAACCCCATATTTAACTAACAAGTTATTAAGTAGCTTGCTGCAGAAGTGGGTTCCCTGATAACTGATTAGCACTTTAGGTACTCCATATCTACTGAAGATAGTAGACTTCATTAATTTGGAAACTTTAAGTGCATCGTCCTTTTGCGTAGGATAGCTTTTACCCACCTAGAGAGGTAATCGATAGCTAGGAGTATGTAGGTGTAATCGTGAGAAGGTGGAAAGGGGCCCATAAAGTCTATTCCTAAAACGTCAAAGATCTCATAGAATAGGATCGGTTGTTGTGGCATTTTATTCCTTCTACTAACCCTCCCAAATCATTAGGATCTATCACATGCCTTACAAAAAGTGAATGCGTCTCTAAATAGGGTAGGCCAATAAAAACCTGGATCTAGCACTTTCCTAGCTGTTTTTCTAGCACTAAAGTGCCCTCCACATAAGGTATCACGGCATGCTTCTAGGATGGCTTGAGCCTCTACTTCAGAATGCATCGTCTAATCACTTGGTCAGTACATATTCTCCATAGATGCGGTAGGTCCGAAATATAGTAATAAGCTTTGCTCTTAAGCTTTTGAGCCTTAAAAGTAGTCAGGTGAGAAGGGATTAGACCAGTAACAAGATAGTTGACTAAGTGAGCAAACCATGGCTGAGAAATAGCTAATGCACATAAAGACTGGTCAGGGAAGGAATCACAAATAATGTCAGAATCTAATACTCCCCTTGTCTCTAGTGGTAGCCTATTGAAGTGATCTACTACATGGTTGACATTGCTGGCTCTATCTTTTAGTTCCACATCAAATTCCTGTAGCAATAACATCCACCTTAAGAGCCTCGGCTTCGATTGAGGTTTGTGGAAGAGACATTTCATTGCTATGTGATCTATAAATACAACCACCTTGGAATTTATGAGATAGGGTCTAAGCTTATCGAGTGCAAAAACAATTACAAACAATTTCTTTTCAGTTTCTAAGCTGCATCTAGAGTTTTAGAGGCATAAGCAATCACTTTAGAAATAGAATTCTCCCTTTGACCCAACACTGCCCCCACACTCAAGTCCGAAGCATCAAAGAAATTTCAAAATGTAAATCCCAGTTGGGAGAGGTCAAAATAGGAGGAGTAGCTAGCCTATTCATCAATCCATCAAAAGCAAGTTCACATGCATGATCAAATTGAATATCAACATCCTTTTGCAGCAGTTTGGAAAGAGGTAAAAGCAATTTTACTAAAATCCTTGATGAACCTTCTATAGAACCCCACATGTCCTAAAAAGGATCTCAACTCTTTCAAGTTGGTCGGGTAGGGCAAGGAAGATATCACCTCCACTTTAGCTTTATCAACCTCTATTCCTTTTTCAGAGATCAAATATCCTAGCATGATGCTTTGATTAACCATAAAATGGCATTTCTCATAATTTAAAACCAGCTTTCTCTCAATGCATCATGCTAAGATTTTATCAAGAATTTTCAAGCAATCTTTAAAAGAATTCCCATAAACAGTAAAATCACCTGAACACTTCCATGCATTTTTTAATAAATTCAGCAAAAATGGATAGTATATAGTATTGGAATATGCCAGGGGCATGGGAAAGACCAAAGGGCATTCTTTTGTAAGCATAGGTTCCAAAAGGACAAGTGAAAGTGGTCTTATCCTGGTCCTTGGGGTCTATAGGAATTTGAAAATATCCTGAATATCCATCTAAGAAACAGTAATGACTCTTCCCCACTAACTGTTCAAGCATTTGATCAATAAAGGGTAAGGGAAAGTGATCTTTCCTAGTAGATTCATCTAGTTTCCTATAGTCAATGCAAACTCTCCATGAGTTTTGCACCTTAGTTGGGATGAGTTCATGATGTGAGGGGACGTATGGACTGGCTAGAATCAAGTAACGAATAGATGGTTGATCTAGATAGGACCTTAAGAGAACCTGTCTCTTACAACCCTAACCATGAAGACACCACAAGGTTGATCAATCCCTTGATACTATCGAGTATTCACACGAGAATACAAGCATGCAAGCAGAGCTCACACGGAGAGAAATAAACTCAGTTCTCATTCATCTAGGTCTGAATTCAATTACAAAAAACGTAGCCTATATATAGACAACAATATAACACTCTAGAATCAGCATCCTAAGACATAAATGCTAGGGATGATGCCTCATTAATGATTATTTGACTATAGGAGGCACCATTTATTACATAGAAATAAAAGGAAATAACTTAAATTTCAAGAACAAGTCTGCTATTTAAAAATAGGAAAGTAGATCAGAACATGATCTTCTAGAACACTCCTTGACAAAACAAATGTAAGTCATAATCAATTCATAATGATGCCTTCTTGATCTTTCTTGAAGGTTCTTGGATGTCACTTATGATCCTTGTCCAAGGCACATGGTATTTTAAGTGAATTCTTCAATCTGAACCCCACATGGGTCTTGTACATTATCTTGTTGGGCTTCTAGCAATGTGATCACCATTTTTAGACTCCTTTTAGACTTGTTAAAATGTGCTTCTTCCAAATAAATGGGCTCTAGCTCTTTTAGCTCTCTTATTAGACAATTTAAGGCCTCCTTCAAGCTTTGGTCTTTGCTCTTGTCATTGGGCCTCCAATGCCTTGTAATGGATCTTTTGGAATGTTGGACTTCTTTGTTTGGGCTCCTTGCCCATGCTCTTGATCACACCATGCTCTTCCATCAGTTCATTGTTCTTGTTTTTAACTACTATGATTCCACTCTTTTTTGGCACAACTTATACCGTGACACCCATTCACTATCAGATATAGCATAAATAATTCCATCCCTCAAAAGTTTATCTACTTCTTTCCTAACCACATCAGAAATTAGAGGATTCAACCTTCTCTAGCTTTGCTTAATGGGGTTGGAATCCTTAGTCAATAAAATCCTATGGGTACACACACTAGAGTCAATTCCCTTAATGTCAGCTAGTTACCAACCCAAAGCCTTCCTATTTCTTTTAAGAATTTCCATTAGACTAGTCTCTTCATGTTCAATTAAAGAACTAGAAATAATAATAGGCAATTTATTCACAGGCTCAATATAAGCATACTTGAGGTTGGGAGGTAAATCTTTTAGTTCTAAAGTTAGGGGTTGAACAATAGAGGGAATTAGAGTAGGGAAATCAACAGAGTTAGAGCAACTCCCCTTTTTAGATCCTTGCAAAATGCACTCGCCAGCTTCACTTGGATTCACTATGCTTGCTTCAGTCCTATCAGATGTTGCACCAAGCTTGAGTTGGTCTACAACAGCAACAACCTTAGGTTGGTTCACCTCCATACCTACATCATTATTAGAGACTAGATCATTCAAAAATCATAAGGTATGGGGTGTAATCTTAGAATGTGTATGAGTAACAATTGAGTCAGAAAGTGTTGGCCCTTTAACCAAAGTCTTCAGGACATGAGGTGGTGAAGCAATTGAAGTTTGAAGTTTAGGAGGTGAAATAGGGGGCTCAAGTCATGACCTCACAACTCCAGGTCACAACCTCACTTCACAAAGGCCACCTTCTAGAAAATTCATGTCTAAAGTCGCGACTTGAGAATCCTCAGGTCGCGACCTCAACCCGCAGAGGCTCATATCCTCAGATTTTGTTGCACTCTTAGTAGTAACTATATCTTGAATACCTACATCATTAGCTAATATACCTTTTCCAAGGCCAACATTAGTAGTAAACACAAAAATGGAATCAAAACTTGATGGAAAAGAAAAATCTTGAGAAATAGAAAGCATGCTATCAATTTCTAAAGAATTAATACATGGCACCTCATCTCCACAAGTGCTAGAGAATGAATAAACAGAAGAGAGGGAATTAAAGTATTAATCATATGCACTCAAAGATGAGTCAAGCTCATCAAGATTCATGTGATGATGCAACAGAAGAATCAATCGATTTAGGAAAACACATGTAATCACCATCATGCATTCACAGCTCATGCTCATCCCTGGCTTGCTCAACAGCTAAATCAATGGCATTTAAACCCATGAATGCAGAATTATCAAAGGGGTAATGCATGGCTTCATTCATATTAAAGGTTACAACATGATCTCCTACTTCTATTATTATACAACTATGCTTCATGCTTATGATGGTTTTGGAAGTTTGCAAGAAAGGTCTTCCTAAAATCAGAGTACTCTCATTTGCAAGTTCATTAGACATGTCCAAAACACAGAAATCAGTAGGGACTACTAGGTCTTTAACCTGAACCAGAATATCTTCTATGATTCCCTTGGGGTACCTGATAGACATATCTGCTAATTGGAATACTACACTTGTGTCTTTAATGCCATTTATCCCTAAAGCCAAATAGACTGACCAAGGCATGACATTTACAGCAGCCCCTAAATCTAACAACGCTCCCTTGATGTGAACCCTTCCTATTGTACAGGAGATGGTGTCAAATCCAGCTTTAAATAAGGATGACACATTAGCACTCACTTGAATTCTCTTGAGAGGCCTAAACGTTTGCTTGTCATTACATAGTTCCTTTAATACTTTAAAGTATTTAGGGTTTCCTCTCAAGAATTGAATTATGGGCACATTAATTTCCAGCTTGTTGAAAAGAGTGTAAGCATCAGTAGCAAGCTCAGCATCAAACTTTTTCTTACCGGAGAAATAAGCTTTAGGAAAAGGGAGATCTTTAGCACTTACCTCCTTACCTGAAGGTTTAGAGGCTCCTTGTATGCTCATCTCTGTCTTGTCCTCTTTCTGTTTGCCTTTGTAAGTGGAGCTCTCCATGATATTTTTATCTTTTGACATAGCTTCTTGAGTTACTTGGTCACATGCTGGAGTTGGCTTCTCTTCTAGACCAGTCTGTGCTCTTGCCCTCTTCATGAGCTTCGCTTCTTATGAGCTTTCAGATTTGCCAAGTCTCATTAGGGAAAGCAGAAGGCTGCCAACATCTTGATCAACTTCAATCTTTTTACCATTTCACCCTTAAAGTGAACTTTCCTACCACTTCGTAGGGTTATAGCATTGAGG